CCCTGTCTCAAAAAAAGATGGGGGGCAAGGAAGGACTCTCAACTTTGTGTTTTGACTTCGAAATATGTGCCCCCTCAGTCTCACACACACATAGATCAGAAAAAAAGAAAACTATAGTTCATGTTCACTAATTCAAAGCCAAAACTGAAGTTTGGATTCTCCTAGTCTTCATATTTCCCTCTTTTGCATGATCTACATTTAATCTCTTTCTCTGGACACTTATTTAATTCCTGGGAAAGAAGGAACAAAGGAAAAGTCAAGGCTTCAAACTCAATTTATCAATAAATAGCTTAAGTTTTCTCTTTGTCAGTGTTTCCCCGAAGCATCTAGTAACTTGAAATTCCAAGAGCCCTATATTTATTTGAGTCATCTTTACACGTATGATCATGAGCACTGGAATACAAAATACCTAACACACCAATTATTATGCAAATACACAGAAGATAAAGGTGTAATGATACAAGGGCCAATTTAGAACCTTTGAAATCCCAGTTAAATAGCCCCCAAATGAGACTCTTTGAAAAGCACCTCTTGTAATAGTTGTCCTTATTCGTGGGAAGTTAATTCCAAGACTTGAGTGAGTGCCTGAAAGCACACAGAGTGCCAAGACCTCTGTAACACCCAGAGCCTTCCCCTTTGCACTCATGGATTCGCTTTGGAACAGTTAAATTGTCACCAACCTTACTCCTGCCTTTCCTGACCATGAGGATTCTTTAAAGACAGCACTGCAATGCCATGGCCAATCAATATGCAATACAATAGCCCAGTGAAGTGATTGACAGGGAAGCTGGTGCCATGTCCAGTGCAGATATGGTGGATAAAGGGTGATTTGTGTCTCACTCCAGAGAGAACAAAAAGATGGACTGCACAATACTCAGAACTGTGCGCAATTTTATATTGAAGAACTGCTTATTTCTAAAAATCCTCCACTTAATGGCTTCATGCCATGGTTAACTGTAGATAACAAAACCATGGAAAGCAAAAAATGTAGCAAGTAGAAGCTGTATTCTGTGTGTTGTGTTGTGTATGCACACACATCTGTATTGGTGGTCCTATGCTATTCACAGAATTCAGAGAAGACAGGAGATCAAAAATTAAGAACAACACTGCCTTAATCTGGCTCTACTGAGTTAAAAAAAAAAACACCCTAACCAATAAATTTGACAACCTTTCTTAGTCATTCCCTCTCAGGTCATTCCCAGAGTTCACCTTTAATGGTCTCTCACAATGCTCATGGGACTTAAGGTCAATAAAAAGTTTATGTGGAACAATTTACTTGAGAGATGCGGGAGGGAGGGGCTGGGTCACTTTTGACCTAGTCACTCCGTTTGAACAGTTAGTTCTAATACACTAGTTTTTAAAAGAACAATAGTAGATTAATGTAGAAGTTCTTGTGTGTGTGTTGATAAAAAACAAATCATTGGAAATACACTATATATCAAGTGTTGGTTAATAGATTGTGCAAATCCAAATCATAAGATATTACATAGTAATCAGAGAGAGAGATTTATCTTTTAACAACAAAACCCCGCTTATTTATGTGAAACGTGCATGATCAATCTTTGAGCATATGAACAGTCTTGGGACAAGTGTCGGTGGATCTCCTTCTCGGAACCTGCTGGGCTGGACACTGGTGGGGTAGAGTGTACAGAAGCAAGTGTTTCAAAGGCAACAGCTCTCAAGCTGCTGTCACTACCTCCAGAAGATGCCATGGAGACAGGGAGTGAGTTCTGATTTTGTTTGTTTTGAGAGAGAGAGAGAGAGAGAGAGAGAGAGAGAGAGAGAGATTTAAATGATGTACATTCATCTCAGTTTTGGTTAAGGGTATAAAGAAATGAAAAAAGAACAGTAACAGCAAAAGTCAAAGCATCCGGTCTACCAAAGGTGCTGGGCAGAAGGAAGGAGGCAATTAACACTCCCAGGTGAAACTTTCCAGAACAAGTAGAATCATGGGTAAAGTTCCGATCTCTATACATTCTCCAGAACCCCTCACTGGGTAGCCCGCAGGACTGAACCCTAGTCAACCACAGCAGTCACCAGCTCGGTAACTTATTCTTGTTCTCTTTTTCTGTACTATACACCCTCTCCCTTCCCTCCTTCTTGAAATCCACTTCCCGTTAAGAAACCTGAACTCACATCCTTGCCTTACGCTCTCCTGGCAGGTGAGATAAAATTAAGTCATAACATAATATCCCCTTGAGCATCACAAACTCAGAAGGCTAAGTAGAAAGTGCCTCCATTCCATGCCTCAATCCAAGCAAGAAAACCCAAAAGGGAAATGTGGTTCTCTCCTTGGGACAGGAGGGAATGAATATAAACTGGGAACGAATATAAAATGATTCAGTGAGTTATTCTGTTGAATCATCTACTACCAAACACTGGGCATCCATGGAAATCAGACCCGGTCCTTGTCCTCCAAGAACCCACAATGCTAGAAAGACCCCACACACACAAAGCCTGAACCCATTTGAGGCATCTCCACTACCCTACACAATTTTCTTGCTGTTCTGACTAATTCAGACTGGATCATGTTTTGGAGACCACAGCATTACATGCATCAGAGTATAACTGTGAATGCCAGGAATGGGAGGAGCTAGAGATTATTGCCAGAGTCATAAACCCAAGCCACACCCACACAGATGGGGCTCTTCTCCTTTGTTAGGACTCCCAGAATTTCCTTTACGGCTTTCAAACTGTGCCTCCCAATAAAGCAGTCTCATAAGGTGTGGTGGGCTGAAAGGACGCTCCGAGGCAAGGTGTTTGTTCTGTTCACACTACCAGGTTCACACACTCCACTTTCCCACCCGGAACCTCAAACTCACTCTAACCAGTTGTTGGATGTGGACAAGTATGAGACAGGACCCAACAGAGATAATGGTACCAGCCATCAGGATTTAGGGCACTAGTTACTATAGCTTCAGAGGCCAGCCAGGCTGTGTAAATTAATACTGTGGGCAGGGATGTGTGGAAACAGCGCCTCCAAGAAGTGAGGGTCCAGTGCTGCCAGACACTGCAACTTTTGCAAGGTCACTAAGAGGCCACCATACACATTTCACACAAAAACACCTAACTTTTTTACGGTAGCAACCAGCTTAAACGATTTTTGCTTAGCCTGTATTGGCCTGCATAGCACACAGAGAAGACTTTTGTCCTCTAAGCCGCTAGACAGGAATGTTACTGCAATGAACTTGTCCGTTGTAACTGAAGATGTATTGACAGTTCACAGAACTGCACAATTACAAAATATTGAAAAGCAGGGGAAAAAGCAAAGGAATGAAGGAATGAAAAACTTCCTTAAAAAACTTTAAGGAATGAAATCTAGATAGACATGAGGGACATGAATTCACGAACTCCTAGTATTAATTTGAAGCCAAGGGCATCATATGACATGATGAGGTCCACAGGTCATGTGACTGCAATGCTATGGCAGTATTGCGTCACACCAGGCCTCGCCCTATAAACAGTCTATTGGCCGTCTTCTGCCTTTCATCGGCTCGACTGCCCCATGCCCCACTCCCCTCCAACCATCTCTACTCCCACACAAATGACCCTGTTCATTAAAAGCTACCATCCCACGTTTTAGAACAAGCAGCAGGAGCCCACTGTATAAAGAGATCCAAAAAGAAAATCTTCAAAGAAAATAGGGACAAATTGCCAGAAGCACTTCCTAGGCCTCTTGACACAAGATTATGGAGGGCAAAGCATCCAGACTCCCAGGAGCCAGAGGTCCAAGTGTGGGGACACGGTTGAAGGGTGTCTCCAGCCCCCTTGTTCATCGTGTGTTTTGTCTTTTTCTTTTCATAATATACTTTGATCATATTCCTTTCCCTTCTCCAACTCTTTCCAGAATGCCTCATGTTGGGACCAAATATGGGGACCAAAGAGCAAAAGCGCTCATCAGGGAAGCCCAAGAACTCATCACCACCTAGAACATGAGTCAAGGCCCTGGGATTCACCTTAGTCAGCTGAACACTGGTATACAGCTTCTAGCTCGGTCTTTTCCAGTTCTGAGATCTCACACTTACAGGTTAGCTGTGCCTTTGCTGGTTTGACGGTTGGGGTGGGGGGTGAATATATTTGCCTGTATGTGTATACATGCGTGGATGGTGAGGCACAAGATGTGGAGTGTGGAGGCCCGAGGTGGATGTCAGATTTCTTTATCTGGCTAGCCAGGTTGGCCTGGGGATCCCTTGTCTCTGCCTCTCATGTGTTGAATTACATCTGGGCCACCACACACACACTCATCCTTTTCCATGAGTTCTAGGAATACAAACTCTCACCCTTGTGCTTATACAGCAAGCATTTTACCTACTGAACTCTCTCCCCAAATCCCCCCTGCATGTTTTTCAGAACCACGTTGATGACCTCCGTTCTGCTTGGCAGAATGTCTGCCATTTATTCATAATGACTGTCGGTACAACATGGCCTGGTACCTTTATGCGAAGATTCAGTTATGCAAAGCACACCGAATATCTATCAGATATTTGAGCTCCACCATGCATTAGACCTGGGGCACACTGTAGAGGCTTAGGAACGCTGCCCTCCCTTGCCTGTGTTCCAAACAGGCACATACCGTTGTAATCCCATTGAAGCTTTGCTCTGCCTCATACTTTTACTGGGATAGTAATTGGAATAACCTGTCTTCTTCTAAGAAAAATATACATCTCCATTGCTGCCAACAGATAAAGCTAGAAGCAGAAGCTCATGGAAATCTGTTTACCACCACCAACAGCCGCAGCCGGTGTCTGGCCCGGCTTAGGGAGGTTATCAAACTAAATCCTTCTCAGAGCCAGAAAGCACCTCAACTTATCCCAAACCAAAGCGCCACCACGGACTTCATTAGCAATTTCTCAAACAGGAGAAAAGTGGCGTATTTCCTCTGACTCACTTGCTTCTCTCTCAACCTACCATACCCCCACTATCTTATTGCATAAAAAAAAAAGCTGGGGTTCTCCGGGGACCACAGATTACTCCTTAGCTCAATAATTACACTCAAAAAATACCATTTTTTTTCAGAGAAGACAACGATTTATTTAGAGACCTTGGGGTGGAGAGGCGAACTCGATGATGATGATGGTGGTCTTGGGCCTGCAGCCGGAGGCACTGCCGTCTGAGTCACCCAACGGGACAAATGTGACTTGGTACTGCTTGGAATCCAGCAGCTCCTTCAGCCAAAGCATGTGTGGCTCGCTGCGGAGAAAAAGGGAAAGCGGTGAGGGAACCCTGCAGGGCTCTGTGTTCTTCACGTAGCGTCGGAACCCTCCCAACTCTGTTACCTGAAGATGCCATCAAAGGTCTGGTTTCAAAGAGGTAGGTCAAGTGATAGCATCAGTGTCTCCTACAGAGTGGACAAGATCAGAGGGAGGCTATATGGCACAAACAGTGACCATGGACAGGTATTTGATTCTTTGTGTGCAACTTTAGAGTTGGGTAGTTTGGAGAAGGAGAAGGGCATGTAGGAAAAATTGCTCTAAGGGAGAATTTTGGAAGCTATGTGATGAGCTATGCTTCATGCTCTATACTTTCAAGGATGTCTACCTAACCTTTTGATGCTGTGATAGGATACCGTTGTCAACAAATGCGTTTGGGTATACTTATAACTATCAAGGGATGCATAGTTTGGGCATGTCAGCTTTAGATCAGAATGTGCTGTTTTAGAAAGCTGGCTAAGATGGTACTCGGTTTTGAGAGACCCCTTTGCCGTCAGAAAGTGTCATCGGTACCTTTGACTTTTGTTCCTTTTCTGGGGTGATTTCTTTGCTTTGTGTCTCTGTTGAAAATCCTTCATGCAACATGTTGGACACCAACATTTACAGGCTTTTGCCATCTTCTCACGGTCCCCAGCTCTGGCCAGCAATGAGGTTCCGGTTGAGATCGCCTCTGGCTGCTCTTCCTGTCATCTCTCTTTCTCACCCCAGGCCCATCAGTCCACAGCAGTTCAGCCATCCCCCCCTTTTTAAGTGACCGTGACACAGACCCTCCCAGTCAGGGACCTGATGACTGGTAATGCTTTGTCACAATGAGGGCTTGCTCAGGCGGCTGGGAGAGCACTGGAATATGTAGAGAAAGTCCAGCAGCTGCTCTTGAGAACTCCTTAAATTGACCTGGTAGTCACCGGTGCAGCACTTAAGAGCTCTCTATGAAGGACGCAAACCAAGTAAAACTCCCTGTGCCTTTCAGGCACAAATCTGGCATTTTCAATAAGCGTGTGCTATCGGTTTCATTGTCTTAATTCTGGAAATCTGAGCGGGGACTTGAAAAATACAGAATTCTTAAATGACCCTCTTGAGTAATTGACATGCAAGTTACAATATTTCCAGGACAGATTTGAGAAGTTTTGACAATGGTACACACCCAATGACCATACTGCCACGGATCAAGGTAGAACATATCCACCGTTCCTGGTAGCTCCCCTAGGGACCTCCATAATGCCTCTGCTCTCCTCCTCCAGTACCTGACAATGTGCTAGTCAAAGCTCTAAGCTAGCATCTTTATTTAAAGATGTACACTGCCCTTGCTCCTTCCCCCTTCAAACCCCACAGAGATATAGCTTCGACCTCAAGTCCAATATCTGAGAAGTCATGTATGCAAATAGATCTGGACAGAATATAATAAGTATGAAACGTGACCAAAAGACGTCTTTGGAGGGTTCATGTTATGATGTAGCCATGATGTGTGGAATCTTTGGGTTTTGGAGGACAGAAGAGGAATTTACTAAGTGTTAAGAACCACTGATTTCTCTGTGAACTCATTCTTGCTCACTCTTTACATATTACACACTTAAACAGAAGTGGGGGGTGCTTGAAAGAGAGAATAAAAAAACCTGGCTAGAGAGGAATACTGGAGGTGGAAGAGAGGGGTAGAGATGGAAAGGTGGAGACTATGAACTACATTGTTAGGCAGGTTTCCTGAATTTTTCAAGCAAAGAGTGATAAACAATTAAACCTTTTTTTGGAGGACATTTCATTGAAAGAAAAGAAAAACTTTGGCAGCCTCTATAACAACGTATCTGAATGTTACATGGATTTTCAAAGTGGGCTACCATTTATTTCCATATAAGTGTGGGCAACACAAATGCAGATTCAATAACTACAAGGAAGAAAAAGGGAGTCCCAGAACACTTCAGAGACCAAGCCTAGTACAATAGGAGTTCGGTGCTGCCCATCAGCAGGATCACGTTGGCAATGAAGTCCCCAAGAAAGTCATCTCCCAGCCTTTAAATCCAAGTTCTCAGGATTCCTTCTCAAAGCAGGACCAAAGCAGAAAATCTACACTTCTGTCATTCATTCTTTCCAATCTGAGGTTTTAATCTCAGCAAGAGCAAAAAAGGTAGAAGGAAGAAAGGCAAGAGGCAGAAGAAAGAGAGAGTGTAAGTCAACTACATATGTACCTGTCTACAAAGTGCTTTAGGTGGGAAGGGAGATGGGGCAGGTGTCATCGGCCAGAAACATGGGCATCACAAAGACCCCAGGATTCAGAGAGACCCTAGGTTTATACTCTGCTGTTGCTGCCCAATTTTTAAAATTTGTTTGACATGGTGCCAGGAGATTTGACTTCCACCATGAATAAGAGAATTGATTTGGGGAGGCAGTGACTTTGCCTGGAATGGATGTTGCAAGAGGTGACACATAGACCAGGAACACCTGTGCGCTTACCTGAAAGGGCTTTTTAGAGTCTCCTACCTTAGATAGACCAAGAACACCTGTGCGCTTACCTGAAGGGCTTTTTAGAGTCTCCTACCTTAGATAGTCCAAGAACACCTGTGCGCTTACCTGAAGGGCTTTTTCAAGTCCCCTACCTTAACTAGAAACTGTCTAGAGCTTAGCTTTTGTCTTTTCCTCACAGCAAGAAGAAAATGTCCCTATCACCATTGCAGAAGAGCATTCTATGGAGGAAACAGACATTTCTGTTTGTGCCAGAGTCCCCACCAGAATGCCAGGTCATGCTATGCTGGCCCCTCACACCTCCTCCAAGGAGAATAAGGCTGACCTGTATCGAGAGCTTAGTGACAATAAAATCCAGCTACTGCCATGTTCAAACACAATGGGGTATATGTTTTGTTCTTACCTAAAATCTTAATCTTCAAAGATTTTTCTAGGCAGGTTACATGTGCTCTCCCAACACAGGGACATGGGGGCGGGGGTAAAATGTCACTACACCTCTATGCTTACAGCTGCAGAATTCCATGACCATGGTCAAGTTACTTTATTCTCTTTCTTCCTATGGTTTTGAGATCTTCACATATGGGAATTCTATCAGTACCTAGGCAGAGAAGGAGTCAGCTCCATCATTCTATAGCCACAAGCAAACAGATTATTCTCCCTGGGAACAGAGTCAGTAAAGGAAGTCAGAGATACAAAACAAGCCTGGTCAGAATGGTTATATCATTCATGGCAAAAGCAGTCCAGTAGTAGTCGTGATAAAGATACATTTAAGGATACTTCTTAGGGACAGCCCTACTGCTAAGGATCATGGGACCATTTGGCACCTCCTCTGCCTGATGCACTGGCACCAGCATGGTGGTCACAATGCTTTATATCATCACTTATGAGGGTGCTGGCCTGAACATGTGGCAACCTCTGAATCTTGACCTTCTTAGTGGCAAATAAAAAAAGATGGTGGAATGCCTTCAGTAAGGCAAGGACCCCAACACACGGCTCTTGGAGCATAAGAAAGAGGACAAAGAAGCAAGAAAAATGCATAGGGCAGGGGAAGGAAAGACAATGAAAAGGCATCTCAGCTGCACATCCTGGCCCGTGTCAAGATCCTGGACTGAGGATGAGCAATTCTGGGCATGGTGTCTGACTTTGTCTAGGTTCCCTGTGTTTTCTAGAAACCTAACACAAGTGTCCCTACTCCAGTCGATAGACAGATCCAAACACTCTCGTTTCTACAGACCAAATGTGACCAGGTAATTTAATTCAAATGCACAATCGAAAATACAGATTTCCAACACCATAATATGTGGTGTGATTTTGGCCTCGAACAGAAGGAAGCTACAATGTCAGGCTATTCTGAGAACACGTATATGCTTTAGATTAGGCTAAAGTTAGTAGGGGCAGGAAAGTGGTCAGTGTTACCTGGACCCTTCTGAAGCATGAAATTTGAATTTGTGGTGTATAACCACACCATCCAAGTTATTATTAGTGATGACTTCTGGGAAAGCAAAATGAATTAAAATAATTTTCCAGAAGTCCAAATAAACTGGGCTTTCAAATCTCTGGTTTACAGCTTTAGATAGAGCAGATAGAACGTTTCTCCCTGCTCTCTCCTCCTTTCACGTTTCTCCCACCGTGATCCTGCCACACTAGTGAAGAGTCAAGACTGGACATGTTTTTAGCCAAGTGGAAAAGACACTGTGGAGCGGTGGGAAGTCCTCAGGTTTGAGATAAGTAAAGGGTTGGTCAACAATGTCTCTTCCAGTGCCTACTTAACATTTCTTTAGGCAAGGAACCCCCAAAATGAACATGCTAAGGACCTCAGAAGAATCTTCCACAGATACTGAGTCCCTAACTTCTAGTTGCTCACTATCTGTATTAGTGATACAAAAACTTAGCAATTGTTTCTAGAAAGACCCAGGGAATTCTGTAGGAAGGATGGGACAGGAGCCAGGAAGAAAAAAAATGTGAATGAGCAGAACATCTAGAGAACCAAGGTGTTCTCAGCACTTGATGGTAGGAGTGTGCTGAGTTCTAGTCCTTCCTCTTCTCTCAGAAAAGCACTCTTTGTCCTGAGTCTCTCGCCTTGGTTCTCTACGAACACATCAGATATATGCTTGGCTTGGAAGGCTCTGGCCCTTAGTAAGGTTTCTCATCTGTTTTCACCCTCCCCAGCCTGTCCCTGTACCTGTGGCACGTCTGAACAAAAACAGCAGCTGTACACAAGACAGGGTGTCCATGTGAACAGGGTAGGAGGTCCCCACTCCCCAGCTGAAGTCAACATCTGGAAGACTTAAATTTCAGAGAGGGACTCAGACTTAGTCACCAGCATGTGTAAGGGCTGTCTGAAACTTTTCCATTCTCCCTCTTAATAAACTCCAAGTCCCAACCTGATGGGCAGATCCATCCCTATGAAGATGTCTATTGGACTGCTTAGGAAAATCAAGAGTGTAGAGAGGTGAGAGAGGATCCCAATGGAAATGTGATGGCCTCAACAGTCACACTCTGAACTTGTCCTTCCCAAGAACAGGGCCAGTGGGAGATGTGGCCTTAAAGTCTTTAGCTACCATGGAGTTAAGAACTATACCATACAGCCCACCCACCTGTGAAAATTAATCTCTCTTTCTCCCCCTCTCTCTTTCTCTCTTTCTCTGTCTCCTTCCCTATTTCCCTCCCTGCCTACATCCCTCTCCAATAGCTGTCAGAAGCTATCCACTTTCTTCCATCTACTAGAAATAAAAGGAACAAAATCTGAGTCGCATAGGGCAAGCCAAGGGATAGAAGAACCAGGTCTACTAGGCTAGTCCTCTGCTACTTTATTTGAAGCAGCTTTGACATTCACTGTTTTTTTCCCCACCAAAATAAAACTTAGCAAAAGCCGGCCTAAAGAGACAGTGAGCAGCCGGGCAGTGGTGGCGCACGCACGCCTTTAATCTCAGCACTTGGGAGGCAGAGGCAGCTGGATCTCTGTGAGTGCAAGGCCAGTCTGGTCTACAAGAGCTAGTTCCAGGACAGGCTCCAAAGCTACAGAGAAACCCTGTCTCAAAAAGAAAAGAAAGAAAGAAAGAAAGAGAGAGAGAGAGAGAGAGAGAGAGAGCAGACTGAGTTCGCAGATGGTTCTTGATGGGGTGGGGGCTTCCTCCAACCCTGCAAAGGGTCAGGGGTGAGGTCATTGTTCTCCTCCTAAATTGCCTTTGGCTCGTATTCCACTGGGGCAGAAAAAGCAACTCAAATGTAACTGATATCCAACCCTTCTCTGTCCACCCCAGAAGATACGGTTTAAGAGCCAACCCTCGGGTCACCAGTCCAACTTTTGCCTAGCCTGTGACTTGCTTTCCCACATACAACTCTCTGCAGCTCCGGTTTCTCTGTGTGGAATCTGAAGGAGAACTGGAACCAGAACCTTTTTGTTTGTTCCTTCAACAGCTCTCAAATCCAGTGGCTTTCCCCCTGTGACCTCAACTTCTCTTGGACAGCGCAGGTTTTAGGGAGGTGGGAGTTGGAGAAATATCTTGTCTCCAGGACCATACCCCCAGAAAAGTTTCTTAAATCAGTACAGAGGTGAACACAGAGCACCAGAGTGTAGAACTGTTCTCACCACATCTGTCTCATTGTGGTAGGCTATCTGATCTCATAATATTTTGAAGTGTCTAGTACCACATGTGACTCTAGCCGTCCTGATAGAAAATAAGAGATTATATGGTCAGTGCCTCTGACCAGCTCAAAAGAGAGTTACCAGGTCTATTCACCTAACTACTCCAAGGGACCCACAGTTCCACTTCAACAAAAGGCCACACCCACACCTCTCTGTCGTCTACTACTAGAAACTAGTTCTTTTTGTTAATCAGAAATAATAAAGTCAAAAAAGAAATAAAACTGAGTCCCATTGGATAAGGCAAGGTGTGGCAGAAAGAAGCCCACCGTTGGGAGACATTTCCTAAAGGGACCATCACTGTCACCAACCCATCACAGTGACCACCTAGTCACCTGACTCCACATGCTCATTAGCAAACAAGAGAGACAAAGTCCTGAGAAATCCAACCAGTACCAGAACCAAGACGGGTTGCTTTCTGTTGAGATCAGCTTAACACACTACAAGGCAATCCAGGCACAAGATGGGCTTTACATAGTTCATTGCCTTGACTTGAAGGGCAGTATTACAGGGTCATAGACTTTGAATAAAGGTCAGAGGGCAATGAGAATGTGAAAAGTGGGTGAAATCCTCCTTCGAGTTGTTGGACAAAATGGGAAGACTAGGGTGACTTAAGAAAATTAAATTCTCCTCTTTTAACAACTATTTTCCACAACGGTGCGTTGAGACCCCATTCTGTGGTAGAATCATTGACTGCCAAGCTGCATGTGGTGGTGAGCAAGACTGCACCTTCCAGCTTCTTTGAGACCTGTGTTCCCATGGGCCTGTGTGTCAGAGAAAAAAGGCAGAGGGACTGGGATGGACAGAGGCGCTTCAGCTATAGAGGGCAAGGTGGAACACTGTTTTATACAGCTCCACACTCTCTGTGGGGGGAAACACTCACCAAGGAATCGGTGAACAAGTTCGTAAAGTCATGTTGGCCAGGTAGGAGTGCTTTACACTGTGATGCAGGTTGAGAGACAATCAGCTGCCAAATCATCCTTCAGCACACCAGGAAGTGTCCCAAATAGGAAGAGGATACCGTGATGAGACTCAACAGGCTATTGACTTTGAAGCTAAGCCACTCAAGCACTCTGGCATTCAAACATATCGTCTTCTTACCTATAACCATCAGCAATACGGGGCAGAGGGTACAGCTACCTTCTCTCTCCTACTCAACCAACTTCTGCTACATGTTTACCCAGTTTTTGACGGAGGATAGGGGTGGTGGAGACAGAAAGAACTTTCAGTGTCCGTGGAAATTTGTTCTGCTAGACTTGATATGAGTTATAAAGGAAGGCTAAAAGGTTGGATAAGTCTTCGTGACTCACATAGGCAATAATCAAGGCCCGGCTGAGCTTTGTGGCTTAGAAGCCACAAAGGCCCTTCAAAGTGATACTCACAAGCTCAAATCTGATCCCGCTTAACCTCATGCAGCCAGGCCACTGCATTACAGGAACAGGCCACTCCCTGACACCTCCCACATCCAATCCATCTCCAAGACTCAGTCCTTCTCTAGTTCTCTGTCCCAACTACCCTTTCTCCTCTCACAGCTAAGCCACTTTGCTCTTCTCTCCCAAACCACGGCTAGAGTCCAGAGTTGTCATTCATTCGGCTCCCCTAGTCACTCACCACCCACTCCACAGCCTCAACAGAATTCACAGATTTGTGTAGATGCCTGATCAGTGGTTTAACGGATTTCAGCCATTAGGCTGAAAGTTCCATGCACATAGGACTTCGGCTTTAGGCTGTCTTTTTACTATTTGCCTAGTGCCCGAATGTGTGACCGACATATCTTACAAAAGCAAATTTTTGTGCCTAACATGATGGTGTTTCTGCATCCCAAACTGCCAGACAGACAGGCGGAAACCTTTGGAGAGATCTCTGTCACATCTGCAAGGGTTCTGGTTCTACTGGTTTGAAGCAGGTAGAGAAACAAGGGGTAGCACCGAAGATCCCAAAGCCACCAAGACTTACCCAGCCCCTGGTGTCAAAAGCGCTTGGGAAGAAAACATTGGGATCACACTGAATCAGCTCTCCTAGACTCAAGTATTTATGGAAATACATTTGCTGCCTGCAGAAGCTGTGAGACTTGCACACACATGCACACAAACATCCACACTAAGTGACTTTTAAGTTCTCTGCAGGCAAGAGACATACTTTAATAAGCACTGGCAAAACACTTCCCAGGCCTACTATAGGGGTGGGACTTAGTGGTTCAATACCTGTTGAAAAGTCTTTAACTTAAAACCAGGGGAGGTCTCAAAACTGAGGACCAGACTTGAGCTGCACCAAAGAGGTTGCCTTATTTCATATGTATGAACCAGGTGTAGCAAAAGCTAGTGACATCACAAGAGAGCCCCACCCAGCTGCTAAGCCACACCCATTTGCAGTCACAATGGATAAGACCTTAAATACAGGGACTCCTGGCCCTGCCGGCCTTGCAAAGGCCCTCATTTTGGCAGAAATTACAATGTCGACCAGCCGCAAGCTAAAGAGCCATGGCATGAGGAGAGGAAAAAACCGAGCTCCTCACAAGGGTGTCAAGAGAGGAGGCAGCAAGAGAAAATACCGGAAGGGCTGCCTGAAGAGTAGAAAACGGGGCGATGATGGTAAGTGTGGGGAGACATATTCAGGGATATGTTCTCCCAGCAGCCTTCCTGAAGCACTCCTCGGTCAGAACCAGCGATCTCAGCCTGAGATGCTGGGGCTGCGAGGCTGAGTTCCTAGGGACAAGGATGCCAATGAGTGTGTTTTAACAGGTCTTCCTATTGTCAATCTGTCCTTCCCCACAGCAAGTCGCAACTACCGCTCCCACTTGTGATGCGGCACAATGAGCTCTGCCCTGGTGGACTTCAACAACACCAGACAGCAACTGGGGACAACAGAGGGGGACTGCCAAGGAGATCGGAAGTTAGACCAAAGCCAGAGAAGATCCTTATCGATCCTTCTCTGGGTACAAGCCAGTCGCGATGAAGTAAGGAATGTATGTTGGCTGTTTCTCCCCAACATCTCAATAACATTTTGAAAAACAAATAAACTTGTGAAAACTGAAATTCTTGGAAAATATTTGGGTTTCTGTGCTTGCGCAGGGTTGGAGGTAAGACCATTAGACCTGACCCTCTGGTTCATATGTTCCAACTTTGCCTACCCAGAATGTGGTCAACTCAAGATTTGGACCTTTACCTGGGTAGCAAGGAATGCACTGTGTTAAGTCTTGATTTAAAATCAAAAAGGGAGAAGACCTAAAAGCCCACCTTAACTCCATCCCAACTCAACTGTACTTAAAACCCATCCCAACTCAGCATGGCAGGTATGTGGATTTGTGGATACAGTCACTGGGCTTCATCTAGAAATTCTACAGGCTCAGAACATTTCTGTCCTTTCCCTCTTGCCTTGGGACTGGAACAGCTTCACACCACCTGGGTGATGTTCTGCTGTTCGTGTTTGGCCACAAAAAGGGCCTTTCTATGACATTCTAAGTGGTCTCGGGGTACCCTGAGTTTTCCTAGCATCCTTCAGATGGCCCTGGGCGGAACATGTGCAGAGGCAATGGGAAGGCTAACACTGGAGCAGCTGCTTGAAGATTGCTCTGGGCAGTGAACAACCTGGAAAGACCTCTTGGGAAGAAAGTTGGCGAGCTGGCCCCAATTCTGAATGCAATACTGTGTGCCTACGGGCTTGCTTGCCTTATCAGCTCCAGGTTCCCATTGGATCCAAGGCAAAGATCATGAGGGCACTCTGGACACCTGGCACAGTATCTTACACACCCTCCCCCCATTTCCTTAGCTCCAGTTGCAGATTCTGAGTAGCTCTGGTGAATCGATTCCCGTGTCTGGAAACAAACCCCATGGTCAGAGCTAGGGAGGAGCTTCCCTATTTAGTTGACTCTCCAGTTCTAGAAATAGTTGCTGAGTGTGAGGGAAATCCTCTTCAAGAGTCAAATCAAGTTGAACCCTGAACCCTAAAGATTACCACACCTGGCTATCTACTCATCACACAGGGATTGTGACCTTGACTGTAATAACGTCTCTACATCTAGTATGGATTAGTGCATGTCCAAGCATGGCACAGTCACTTTGGACCGGGTATGAAGGAGATGCCAAAAGGAGACCTGCCAAGTAGTGCTGCAGACTGCGGGGCCGACCCATGAGAAATGTTAGTTGGGAATCCAAAGATATCAAGTGTTTTTGTTTTTGCTCTTCAATTTTTCTGTGTAGCTTTGGGGCCTGTCCTGGAACTCACACTGGAGACCAGACAAGCCTTGCAGTACTGGGATTAAAGGCATGTGCCACCACCGCCCAGTGGCTTCATTTCTTAGTTTTGCTTTGGTTCAGTTTCCACCCACCTCTCCCCCCTTTCGGAATGTGATAGTATGTGATTGCTTTGACGGGCATGGCTATAAGCCTATGGAAGCCAGGCGGTGAGTGAGGTGCGTGATTCCAATGAGAATGGCCCTTATCAGCTTTAACTGGCGACTATTGTAAAATGTGTGGATTTGTTGGAGGTATGTCACTGGGGCTTGGTGTGAGGCCCATAGGGCCCAGTCACTTTCCCAGTCCCGACTGGCAGATCAGGATTTGAAGCTCTCAGGTAAAGCTACTTCTCTGGCACCATGCATGCCTGTGTGCTAATGGATGCCCATTAAAAGCTTTCTTCTATGAAATGCCTTGGCCATGGGCATGTTTAGACAAGAGCATAACAGCCTAAGATGCTGGAGACCTCTGGACCAGCTGACAGCACCAGCCTAGTTGGGCAGATCTTCTCCTAACCGCTCAACACTTAGAAGTTGCTCAACTCCTCCGAGCTTTGTCACCTGTTCAGTGGGGTCAGCATGAGGATCCTAAGAGTCAGCAACTCACACCTACCCAGAGCATCAAAAGGAACCGGATGAACCCTGAAATCTCCACGCACAGGTCTACAAATGGAGCGAAATAAGTGTGTAGGTCTAGCTAGAGAGTTGCCTCGGGGACTGAATGGAAACCACATCATCCACTGCGCACCACATTGAGCAATACAACCAGGAGATGAGCACCCGGGTCTGCTTGAGTCACAGAAGCCCTTTGTGTCTCGCAAGAGAGAAGGGTGTGGGCTCTGGCTGGGGGAACAGTGGTGGACTGGCCTCAGTTACATCTAAGAGCTGGCATGGTGCCTGGCCTGTGTTGCAAGGGCAAGTAGGTAGAGGCACCCAGAATAGGGGGACAGGTGTGGGCAAAGACTTGGAAAAACAGAAATGCTTCTAGTCTTTCAATTTGTATCTTTTCGAAGTTACAGTGTTCCCAGACACTCAACCCTCAGGAGGCCCATCATCTCCCCATGTAGCACAAACTACATTCAACCCTGTTGAACAGAAGACAACAGGTCACAGGAGTTAAATGTCCACCATAGTTATGGATGGTCTATCTCTTCAAACCCCCGAAATTTCTGGCTCTCTGAATTAAAGAATTAAAGGAGTATGAAAATTACAGGGTTCTGTCTCAATGGCCCTAATGGAGTACAGCTTCCCTAAACACATGATAGGAACCCTCAGGTTGGGAAAACATCCTCCCCGCTAAATCAGCCAGGTTTGTTGATCGTACACAGACCATATTTATAGCTTCAGAGAACAGTCCATTATTCCATAAACAGAGTGAAAGGCCATTACACCGTGTTCTGGCACTTACATTGAGAGAGATTATTAACCCTTAAGAGGAAGGGAGCCTGAACTTGCATGTTCTCCTGGGGAAGGCTAGTGTGTTGTTATGTACTTAGTACATTTAGCAGTTGTTAAATAAAAGGCCCTAAGTGAATGGAGGGGCTGCTGCTCACAGGAGATAGTGTGTATTTAGCTCCTATGGGGGAATCAGAAAAACAAAGGAAAAACATTGTGGTGGGTACTCCTGTCTTAGAGTCTCGGGTCCAGTGTGTTGGAGAACGCAGGGGACACTGACTGGACTCACTGTCGCCCTACCGCTGGCAGAGCACTGTTGACAGACAAGGGTCCCAGACAAGCACCTCTCCACTTTGGGTCCCACTGGATGAATCATAAGTATATTGCGGTGCTATAATACTCTAACGCAGTGGAGAGCCTCTTTACTGATTGGTAGCTTCATGAAGCTAAGGACGGATTGTTCAGGTTTCTTAGTGGGACGAAGGTCAGCATTCTCTGCCATAACTGACTTACTACTGTAAGTGAAACACAGGCACTTTGTAGCTGTAAAACCGAGCTGGGGAAAGCAAGCCAGAACTGAAGGGTAAGCTCTGCAGAGTGGAAGATGTATGGCTATTAGAGCTAAGTAGGTTGTCTTTGTCTAACGGAAGGGTTTGTCTCAGAATAGAGGTCTGGGAAGACAGAGCGCAGACACTCCCACTAATGGAATTCAACGAGCAAGCAACCAGTCAACGGTGTCCAAGAAGCAGGTTAAAAACTGTGCATTTGAATTTGGAAAGATTTCCATCTAGAAAGCTGCTGTGTTCTAGATTTCACTCAGAAGAGTGAAACATGGGATAATTTCATAACTCTCACAGGCGTCTGGTTCAAGCTGTGCTTAGGCTATGAACAGATACTCAAACGAAGCCCTGTCACAAGACACCCTCTCTGCCTCTGTGGGGACATGCCTGCAGATGTGGGGATGGTGCCTTCTATACATTGTATGCTTCCAATAGCTCATTACTTTGCAATAAACTTCTCAGCTCATGAATTTAGTTCTATCTGATTACCTTGCTTGCTAATTCCCTTGTGTTTTTTAACTATCTCAATGTATTTCAGGTATACATACCGTAAGTGTCGGGCTTAATTGGGTCCACCTAAAAGTCTTCAGCAGAAGCTCTTAACTCCAGTACTTAAAGATGTGGCTGTATTCAGAGACAGGACCGGGAGAGGTAAAGATGAGAATGAACATTGATACCACTGACTAGTGTTCCCCTATGACGATAAAGAGGTGTGTGTATACACAGGGACAACCAAGAGGCAGGCCCTGCAAGCTAAGAAGATGGAACCTCTGAAGAAACCGGAAATGTTGCCTCTTTTATCTTAGACTTCCAGTCTAAAAAGCTGTGAGATTAATTTCCCTGCCATAATGGTATTTGAAGGGGGGGGTTGTTTGTTTGTTTGTTTTTGAGACAGCCCTAGCTGTCCCTAAACTAACTCTGTAGACCAAGCTCGAACTCACAGAGATCTGCCTGCCTCTGTCTTCCGAGTGCTGGGATTAAAGGCTACTTTCCCCTCACAGTTCTCCCTCATTGACTTCCTGTCCGTTTACTTTGAAAATTATACTCACAATTTTTAAAGCTTAAAGATCAATCGTGAGAGAAGAGGGCTTCACTGACTTTCTAGTAAGTTCGTGTGCCTTGGCCTCCTAGATCAAAGAGTTGACTTTAAAAGATTATGATACTTCTCTTAATTAATTTCCTGACGTTAGCAGTGCTATCCTGGTGAGAAGATTGAGGAGATGTGAGATCAAATAGCTTCTCTGGGGTTGTCAAATGTCTTTCTTTTTTTTTTGTAATTTTATTAAATTATAAAAGTTTCCATTTCTGCCCCTCCTCCCACCACCCTCCCACTCCCCCCACTCCCTCTCCTCCTCCCTCTCCATCCCTAAGAGCAGTCAGGGTTTCCTGCCCTGTGGGAAGTTCAAGTTCCTCCCCCCTCCCTCCAGGTCCAGGAAGGTGAGTGTCCAGACGGACTGGATCCGCAAAATCCAGTATATGCAGAGGAAACAAGTCCAAGTGTCATTGTCAATGGCTTTTCAGAAAGACTCCGGGCCAGCCACATTCAGAGAATCTGGTTGGATCGCGTCCTCGTTCAACTGGCCTTGGTAAACTCTCATTAGATCCGTCCTCTTGTATCAGTGGGTGATCGCATCCCTCACAGTCCTTATTTCCTTTTTCATTTTCTTCCTCCTTCTGCTCCTCATTTGGACCTTGGGGGGCTCAGTCCGGTGCTCCAATGTGGGTCTCCGTCTGTATCGCCATCCATCGTGGGATGAAGGTTCTCTCTGATCTTGCCTTCTTTGCTCACGTTCTCTTTCCTTCTGCTTCTCGTTTGGACCTAGGGAGTTAAGTCCAGTGTTCCGAT